AGAGCCCCTTTATTTTTCCCCCCCCCTTTCCTTCCCGGGGCTTCATGCCCCGCTGAGGGGAGGATGGAGGTGGTGGGAGACTTTGAGTACAGCAAGAAGGACCTGATAGGACACGGAGCCTTTGCTGTGGTCTTCAAAGGTCGCCACCGCAAGGTAAAAAGAACGAAAGGCTTCGCCCGCAGCCGGAGCGGGGCCGGTTACACAAGCGGGGGCCGGAGCGGGGCCGGGGGGCTCCGCTGGGGAGCGGTGTGTGCTGCGGGTGTGCGGGGAGAGAACGGGAAAGGCAGAGGAAAAAGGTGCTGGGTGGATGGAGGTGCCTGGGCTGGGCCTGCTCCCGGGGCAGCCCCGACACCCGAGCCGGCTCCGGCCTCCAGAAACCTTGGTTTTATTTCTTTTCCCCTTACAAAACGCAGCCGCGTCTCTGCCTTCCCACCTCCCCGCAGAGCGGCGAGGGGGTTGTTGGAGCTGTGCGAGAGGCTGAGCCCTTTGTTTGTCGTTGGGGGGAGGAGGGGGGGGTCATGTTTATCTCGCTGGATAACGAGGGATCTAATGGAAAATTGTCTCCTTTGGGATTGGCTGAGGATTTCTTAAATTCAGAGGTGTCTGGTTTCCTGGCGTCGCTTGCTGATCACCCCGGGTATTCGTTGTTACCTTGGGGTTTCTTGGTGAGAGTTTGTTCTGGTCTTGGTGCCTGAAGTGTTTTGCTTCCCAGAAAACAACACTTGGGATTTGTCATCTGGGAGCGTTAGGTCGGAACTTGGTGCCTGGAAGGGACTGTGCAGTGATTTGGGGGTTAAAAAAAAAAAAAAAAGAGAGGAAAACGGAAACTTTAAAGGGCAATGGAGATGCTCCCACCTTACAAATAAACAGGCGATTTATTTTTAGATAATATATAAATAGACAATATATACATTTACTTAATGTTTTCTTGTGCAATAAGAAGGCTGAAAATGGGAAGTCCTTTAAGGAAAATAAAAGTAACTCGATTATTGAGAGAGGACTAAAAAACACCACTACCAAAAAATAAATGTCATATGATTGTTTACTACTTTTGCTTTTTAAATTGCTTTTGAATCCATGCAAATGCAGTGCAGCTGGATTTTAATAGCTGTCTAAGCTACTGTGGAATGAAACAGTTCTTGCTGGTGTCATGTGATGGAGTAATCACTGGTGGGTAGAGTAGGGGTGATCTTGCAACTTTTTCTCCAGTGCTTTACCAGCTAGTTGATAGTGGATAAAGTTAAAGAAAAATATAAAACTGACATTACGTTGTTTTTTTGTTTCCAGAAGACTGATTGGGAAGTAGCCATAAAGAGTATTAACAAAAAGAACTTGTCCAAGTCACAAATCCTACTTGGAAAAGAAATAAAAATCTTAAAGGTATGTTAATTTGCAGTGATTTTTAAAGCTGCTTTGCTTTAAAAGAGACTTTTGACCTAGTTCATTCCAGGTCATGGGTTGTACCACAGTAATTACTGCTCCACCTTTTGCTTCTTGGTTACTTCAAGGAGAAATATTGAACTAAAAAGACCAAGAGGAAAAGGAAAAAAAAAAAAAAAGATACTTTCCTGGTTGTGGAAATAGTCTCAGAAGAGGTTATGGACATACTTTCACAGTAAAAAGTGGACAGTTGCTGTAGAACCAAGTCTCTGGGCTTTGCTTATTGCACATGTGAGAAAACCCTGTCCTGCAGGATGGCTGATGGGGCACCTTTCCCTAGCAGTGAGAACAAGTCATAGCTGAGAGTAAAACATCAGTCTTTGATCCTTCTTCATCTTCTTTGCTCAAAGATGCCTCGGAAGCTGAAATCAGCATGCTGAATTTGGTTCCTGAAGCAGTCTTCTGAGCTGTGTAATTTGGCTTAAAATGTGTTGTGTGGCTCTAATGAAGGAAATAAAAGGGAACATCATTTAGTTTTTCAGTGCTTTTCTGCATAAACCTCTCCTTGGATGGTCACTCAGCATTCTCTGCTCTCTGAACTTCACCACATCTCATTTTACTTAGCTTTGCATGAATAATTAGTGCTGCTTTCTTTACAAACTTCTTGAGATACATCACTATTCTATATACTAATATACACATACTATATTCTAGTATATTTATTATAGCCCGGAAATTGTAGTGTTAAATGTATCAATGAGCTGCAAGTAGTCAGCAAAGACAGATGCTTTTTTGAGCAGTTACAAGTAATTGCACAAGGTGTCCTATGAGTTTTATTTTGTGTTTATTGGTTTGATTTCCTTTTTATTGTAAAATGTTAAGGTTCACTTAAACATAGTGTAGCTGGTTACCCTGCTAAGCAAGAAATCATGTGAGATTATAAAATTACATTTAGTCAGTTCAATACTCACTAAAGGAACCTGTGCTTTAGTACTTTCTGTCACAAGACATAGAAAATAAGTTCTGGAACCACATGTTTTTATGACCTCTGAAGATGTTGCCTAATTTCCTATTCCTGTAAATATTGTCTAAGTAGCTGGGATTTTCTCCAAATTCCATCAGATGGTCTAAAAGAGATGCTACCTTTCTTTGTAAGATTTAGTTCTCTTTGGCTGCTACCTAACATACTAAATTCAAAACTAATGGGCTATTTCCATAATACAAATATTTTGTTTTACAGGAACTTCAGCATGAGAACATTGTAGCTCTCTATGATGTCCAGGTAAATGGTATCTCAATATATTTTTGTCTGAATTGAAAATTTTGAATGGCAATGTATTTTTTTCACATTCAGGAATATAAATCCAGTTCTCTGCCAGTGGTGTGGGAGTTCTCTCCTCTTCAACACACTGTGCATTTATTTTGGACTGGCTCTTTCTAATAAGCAGGATGCTCAGCTGGGATAGAAAGCTGGGAGGAAAAGAGTTTCCTTCCAGGCTGCAGAGGCAAGTGGCAGCCTGAGAACCTCTGCAGAGGCTGTTTGTGTAGTTTTCTCCTGTCTCCAGAGAAGAAGTGTCAGCTGGCTGAGCTGTGAGCTGTGTCAGTGGCAGTGCCTGTTCTCCTGAATTAGCCTTGTTTCCTTGGCCCTAGAATTGAATTGGAAAGTGGGTGTTTGTGGATAAGGATTGAATACACCTGAAGGAAAGTGTGCTAGTAGGAGTTGAGCTGAATGGATGAAGCAAGTGACATTAGCAGCTCAACAGAACTTAAAAATACTCTGTTGTAGAAAAGAAGCAGCATCTTGAGACCTCTGTAACAAAGAAATGTGCTGTACAGCCCCGTGTTAGAGTGAGGAAGAAATGAGTGAAGTAGGAGGCCATGATCACAGATGTAGGTAATGCTGTTATCTGTGTTCAAAAGGATAGGATAAAGCATAAAAGCCAAGCAGACACTTGGATCTTTTCAAGTAGGAGAAATAAGTATTAAATTGCCTCAAATTATCTTCCTCTTTTTATTCCTAGGATTCTGCCTGATAAGGTGAAGGAGTTAGTTTCTAGCCTATCTAGGGTAATGTGTTGTACTGAGCAGGAAGCACATTTTTTGGTATCCTAAGGTCTGCAAGTGTTGAGTAAAGCTGAATATGATGTGATGCAGCTTATACAGCCACTTGTTCAGCTTGAATAAGAGCTACACATTTGTCTCCTGGGTTCAATTCTAATCTTAAATACAGAGTTACATGTATGAAGAAATTAAGAACCACCCTTGGGAATTGCATAGCTAAAGCAACATGAAATAAACATTGTGACAATCTTCTGTTTTCTGTCTTTATGCATTTGCATCCTGAAAGCTTTTCAGCTTATGTGTAGATATGTATCTCTGTAGCTACAGAAATTTGTGCTCACAGGGTATACACTGGGCAGTCTGGGGTTTTATTGTGTGTAGAGCTACAGGACATGTACTAACTTCTGTTGGCTTTTGCCACCAAGGAATGATGTTCATGTAAGAACAGACTATGCATCCAAACTTCCCATTTGGATGTGTAGGCTCTTGTTCCTCATGGGTCTTGACTTCAGAGCTCTGCACTTTGAATGATACTAACTGCTCTGAGAGGGAAAGTATAGTGCCTTGTGCTTCTTGAAGGCACTGGGCTTTCCTGAGTATTGCTAAGTGGAAATAATCTCTCAGCATCCTAAATTTAGTATGACCAGACATCTTAAAGAAACTGGAATTGTTGACTGAGTGCATTGGTGTGTGAGTAAGCAGCTGAATTCCAGATTTATCATTTATAGTTGTTTGTATGTAAAGATTACTTAGTGAGCTTTGCAGCTCAGCCTGAGCATAGCTGAATAAATCTGTATTTTATTATTAAACATTGTATATTTTCTAAGACCTGGAGGAGCTCTTGCTTCTTTTGGTTTATCCACGGAACATCCACAAGGGAAGAAATGACAGAGCCATACTCTTGTCTGTGGTTTCTCTACCTAAAGGTTATGTAAAAATACAACTTGTGTGCTTTTCTGTTCTGCCACAGGATAGAGAGTCCTTAGAGTGGCAGGACTTCTTGAATGATCAGGCCTGTCCTTTCCGTTTGAGAAGGGGGTGTTGCTCTTTGTTTACTGACTGTTGCACTTAAATAAAATGAACAGTTAAGGCAAAGAGAAGGGAAACCTTGTTCCTCATACCCTGGATGTATTTCAAATGCATTCATGGCAAACATAGAGCTTGGCAGTATGATGCTACTTCTATAGAAGCAATTGCTTTGCAAAATATGGTCTGAACAATGTTGCACAAATAAGCTTTTCCCTTTCTGCACAGGGCTAGGTTTGTGAAATACTGTACATCATTAACTTGTATGATTACATTAATTTATAACCCAGCAGGAACGAACACTATGCGAGGCATTCTCATGTCTACGAGGCTCTTACACCTGCTCATTTTCTTTAGCATCTCATGTTCTAGCATGTGCTGCCCTTTTTGCTTGCCATAGTATTGTGAACATAGTGTTAGAGTGCAGCAGATAGGACTTGAGGATTTCAAGCCATTTTGAAGTTACAGAAACTATACTTTTTTTTTTTCCCTCATTGGTGAAGCCAGTGGAGTCTGTGTCACAGCAGGAAGTTTTCAGTGTGACTGGGAGTCTGCTTTATTTTTACAGTTGTGTTGGTCTGAAGTTTTTCTTAACTTTAGACAGTTTGAAATAAGAAAATGCTCGTGTTTCAGATGCACTGTGTGTCCTTGATTTCCATAAGGTGGTTGGTCACTTGCAACACTGGCAGGTTTGATCTCTGGTTAAGCATTTCATGTCAGCAAAGCTCACCATTGTTATTTGGGCCATCTCAGAAGGCTGGGTGGAATCTGCCCGCCCCAGGGTGTGGAGACCAGTTGTTTTAAGACTGAAGGTGTTTGTGGAGATACTTAAATACAAACTCTCCGTCTTGTAAGAGGAAAATGTTTTACAGTAGTAGAGCTCTGAAGAAATAAGCATATGCAGCTCACCTCTAAATATGGAATTAATTTTTCATGAAGTGAAGCGCTTACAAAAAACCCCCAGAATATAAGAGCTGGATAACAAGATGTAACCTGTTGAGACATTTTTTTTACTTATCTTATTGGGCAAGAATTTGGTATTCTTTCTTTCAAGAATAAAAAAAACCCTCTTGAATCTCTAAAATGGTATAAGTATGCAGCTCTTTTCTCATGGTGTTGTTATGGGATGTCATTCATCCTGCAGAAGAATATCACAGACTTGCATCATGTTAATTGGGGAAATGGAGCCCACTGTTTCTCAAAAGCAAAAGGAGTCTAAAATAACCTTTAACTCACCAGCATGAAGTATACTGAGGTCCTTGGATAAAGTGTTACATTGAAGTATGAAGGTATCAGTCACTTATTTGGAATGTGCTATATTTAGGACATGAATTTACAGTTTTGCACAGTTCACGAGCCCAAGTGTGTGCTGAGTAGAACTAATCTCTTACACAGTGTCAGACAGTGCCTGTTTTAGCAAATAATTTAATTCAAAACCTCTTCAGAATGTCAGCCATCAGAGTGAAAGCCTGTAATGGATCTTGGAGATAACATTTTAGAAGAATGAATTAATGTCTTCACTGTATGGAGTCTGCAGTTTGCTATTTGAACAGTAGTTCAGGGGGAACTAATTTCCAGTGTGTTACTGGAGAAACAATATCTGAATAGAAATTGTTCCTCCTTGTCTTAGCTCGTTGGAACATAGTGGATAAAATAACTGCAGCTGCTTCTGCTGTCCTTGAAAGCAGTGGGGAGTTAATAGGAACAAAGCCATGCTTCTGGTACCAGCATCTCAGCCTCTACTTAGACACAGGTGCCCATGAGTTCTTGCAAGGGCTGCTTGTGGAAGAAACCATGTTTGTCCATACCTGTTGTTTTACCAGTGGGGATTAAATATTGCTGTTTGGTTTACCCAAGGACTGCAGTTGATCTGGCAGGATTGCATGTGTTTCTTGAGGTGATTTCTTCAAGCATTCTGGTGTGTGCTCTTGATCTTGGTGTCTCCCAGCTTTGATTGCCTCCATACTCTCAGCACAGCTGCTTCTGAACTGTTGTCTTTTGAATGAAGATGTCTCCATATCTTTAGTTTTTCCCCTCAGCTCCTTGATTAAGACATTTGTGTTTGTCAGTACCCATCTTCACTGTGTGTGGAAATAGTTATAAGAAAACAAGCTGTCCAGACAAGTGTTCAGATGAAATATCCTGCCCTGTAGGGACTGTAAAGATTTCGAAATACTCCTTGGCAGCTGATGCTCACTGGAAGGTTGGTTATGACAAAATAACTGCAAGGAATGACGCCAGTGTCGGTGTTGAAGGTTATGGCCAACCAGTTACAATTTGTTTTGGCCCACAGAACCAAACATTTGGAGTTATTACATAGTCCTCAGCTTACCTGCTGTGCATGGGTGCTATCATTTGTGTTTCAAAGCTGTTCCAGAAGATCTTCAAGTCCACAAGCCTGTTAAATGTTTGGTGTGTTGTGAACAGTTTTGCCTTTCCTTTGTGGTGTGCAGCAGGACAGTCTCTCACAACCTCCCATACATATTAGTGAAGTACAGCATTTCACCCAACAGAAAGTCAGTGATATGGCTATTGTGGCACATTTCTTCATGGCTGATTGCTCTTTTATGTGAATAATTGGCAGCGTGCACACTACTTGAGTCCTACAGGCACATGTCAACTGACATTTAGGTTGAGACTTAACAGTTAGTCAGAACTAACAAAATATTCAGTCCTTTAGGCATGATAGGAGCTGAAAATGTTAGAAGCTGCTGTTGTAGTGCACTTGCAAAGCAAACCAAGAGTGTCTGTAGTACAGTAAGAAACAGCCTTAAGAAGACCTGGACCAGTCCTTTTTCACTAAGTCATTAGAACTTTTGCCAAATATATTTAATGCTCAGGAAAAAAATGAGGAGTGTATTCCTGGTCAAAAAAAATAAAGCAAATATAGCACAAATTAACCTATCAGAAAATTAATCAGAGAATAGTAGTGCACGAGCTGCAAGGTTAACTCTCATGCTTCTGGGAGTCCAGTCGTAAACTGCAGCTAAACAGAATCCATGAACTTGGAGCTAAACCCTAGTAACTATTTCTTTGCCACAGTTTCTGCTTTGGCAGCTCACTAAGAGCTCCTTGCAGGCTTTCAGCTTGTTCCAAAAGGGGACTTAGTAACCAAAAGGAAATCTAGGGTGTGTTTCTGCCAATACACTGGAGTTCTAGCAACAGCTGTCAGAAGTAACCAGGGATGTTTTGACTTCTTTTTCAATTAATGTCTTTTAAATGGAACTACTGCACTGAGCCTGTGATTTGGGTTGGAACTTCACATTCCCTGAGACAACTGTTGGAAGTCTGGGATTAAAACACAGCGAGTTTTGGCAAATATGTTGCCTCTTAATCTCTCTAGTAGGTTTATCTGTTAGCTTTCAGAATCATAATATGGTTTTGTATTAACTTTTGCTATCTTTTACTTCAACTTGAAAGCAAAACCTAGGTTCAGAATTAGAAGCAAAAGTAGGACTTTGTCAATACAATTTTAAGCAACAAAGCAAGACATGCTGTGCAAAACTGTTCCCTAATTGTTGCAACACAACACACATTTGTTTGTTTATTTTTCTCGGTAGAAGTGCAGGCCAGAACAACTCCAGCTGCAGTGATGTTATGAGCTGTGTGTCACTGTAAATTTTTTGAAAGCTTTGTTATCGGTTTCAAGAAGCAGTTTAAAATAGCTTGCTAGGTCAGCTTTATTCCTGAATGTCAGATCTGAAACATGCTGGTTTACTAATCTTTTCCTTTCTGAGCACTTTGCTTAGCAAGTCAACAGAAATCACAGCTCTAGAGAATGATAAAAAAGATGGGGTTATTTTTCAGCAAAATAACTTAGAAGGGAAAAATGTGTCTACAGAATTTTTTTGTGTTTTCTGAATGTATTCCCAAAGAGCAGATCACATTCCCAGTCAGGCTGGCCAAGAACTGCAATGTAAAATGTGAGCAACTGTGAAGGGCTGAACAACATCAGCTGTTTCAGACTAAAGCCGTTTTGAACATTGGTGGGGTATTGAAAGTGTTTGGTTATGAGTTAAAGTCAGGAGGAGATGCAGCTGGGAAGCCTGGCTAACAGCCCTGCACCAAATATTACTTCTGCAGTATAATTAAGTATGACTTTTGACCAGTCTGGGAAAAACTCTGCTGATTTAATAATAATAAAAAAATTATGCAATAATGAAACACTACTTCTTACTATGACTCACCCAGTGACTTATTTTATTACTTTTAAGCAAGAATATCAGTCACAAAAAGAAAAGTCACACTATTTGGGGGGAATCTGGTATAGCCTGTAGGAATGGCTTGCTTTCAACAGGTGAGGGCTGGCACAGCAGGACTAATCATCAGCTCTGTTGCTCTGAAGGGAGAAGTTTCCTTTGAAAGGACTTTGTTTCCAAGAGAATCCAGAAAACAGATTCTCTTAGTTCTGTGGTGAATAAATGTCTGTCATGAGTTGAGCATTACATACTGCCATAAGCTGCTGGTTTTGTACAGACCGTTGTGTAGTGGAGGCACTGACGCTGTGGAACATCTATTTCTGATTCATGGGATTGCTATGTTGGGGTGGAAATCCACTAGCTGAGCTGCTTTCTTGTCACTGGAGAGCGGATGGTTTCCATGCTCCTTAGCTGTGTTGTTCTTCTACACGTTGCAGTCATCCTCTGAGTGAAGTGATCCTCACTTGGCAGAATTCTCACTTTGATAAGTTGGGATCTCAGAGTTGCTGCTAGGAATCCTTGGGTTTCCTGAAAGACAGGGAGTTTCTCTCTCGGAAGGTGCAAAAGAACAATTTAGAAATAAATATTTATCATTATGTTTTTTCGGTAATTTACAGAGCCAGTAATTACTTAAGTTGGTTTTTTTTCTTTAATATATGCACTTGGGTTTTGAGGCATTAGTAGGATTGCAAATTATGGTTCATGTTGGCCACAGCTGTTAGAGAAACATTGAACAATTGGGACTTCCTGAAATGTGATCTACTGCTGCTTTAATATTCTATATTGGTTGGAGTTTGCCTTTCATTCCCAACAGATTTGACTAATGTTCCTAGAAACTTGCATTCTTTGAAGCTGATTTCCACATGTAAACAAAGCTGTAATGTGCTTGATCTTCTGAGCTGGAAAGAACCTCAGATGCATTTTCTGTAACACAGATGAGGGTGTCTAAATGCTTCCAGAAAGGTGAAGCAGCCTAATACAGTCTGAAATTAACCTTAAAACATCCAGTTAATTTTGAACTGTACTTCCTGCAGACGTGTATCTGTTTTTGGTATTTAGGGTACTTGGTTTCCCTAGTCTGGGCCCATTTCTACTTTATTTTTCATTTTCAAGTTTCCTTGCCTGACCTGTCAGCAAACCCTTGAAATTGTCACTCTTGTGGGCGTTCTTGCCATTATGGTCAAATTGAACACGTGCTGAAGTTTTAATACAAGGACTGAGAGAGGTGGCTGAGTCCACAGAGTTGGTGCTCCTGTGCAAAGTCCCTTCTGACTTTTTCTTGACACTAACAGCCAGACTGTCTGCACTTCCAGCTGGGGCATTTTCCTGCCCTTGTCTGGTATCCCATCTCAACTGTCTTATAAACATATTTTCCCACTAACTGCCAACCTTTGTGTAAGTTTAAAGTGAAAGATTGATAACATACTATGTAACTAAAAACATTATATACTTAATTTATGTTTCCTTCTAGTTCTTTGTTTTCTTTCCTTTCAGTCTTACTCAATTAGCTCAGAGGGGAAAAAAATGTTTTTACTTTGTATAAGATCTGAGTGTCTTCACCTTTGTAGACACAACAATTATTCAGGAGACTTTATGGAAAACAATGTTGTTTATTAGCATAGACAGGTAGATTCTTTCTTCCCTCACACAAAATAACGATTTGCAAAGAAGGTGAATGTTGTTACAGTTGGGCTTAAGCACAGGCAATTTTACTGCCTTTTTGTGGAGTGTGTAGATAATTTATGGTAGAAGTTAGCTAATCTGTCTTTCAGTAACTTTTACCCAGTTTCAAGAGAGGGATTTCAGGTTGCAAATAGGTCAAAGGAGGTCAGAGCTTTGGAACATCTCAGCAGGATTATCATAACAAATCACACCTTTGCCATAAGGCACTGAGGTCCATGGCAGGGACATGTTCTGCCAGTGACACTCTGAGGGAGACACTTTGCAGAAGTATGCATGATTCCTGAATCAGTTATCCTACAAAATAGCATTTGGGAGTTGGCTTATTCCAGACAGTTAACTGCTCTGTGATTTCTGACCGACCTTCAGCTGGTCAGATGGCAGAACCAAAGCTTGTTTTACCCAGAAGTGGGGAACATCACTTTGGAATTTCTCCTTAGAGAGCTGGTTGTCATAGCCAGATTGTCTTGCTTACAGTTTGTAATTCTGTCCCTATATTTCTGACTTAATATTACTGTCTTGTTACTGACTGATTTCAGTGATGTCTGAGAGCAAAAGTTTATTTGTAAGGGCTCTGAATAGAGAGGTGGTGTTGATAGAGCAGTCCAAGGCAGTTAAAAGCTAAGGGTGCAACACAGAGTGGAAACTGGTGTTACTGTATGAAACTGTTTCAAATTATAGCTTTAGTCTTCAGGATATTGCCTGTTGATTTTTGTACATACAGTAATGCTTTGGAAAATGTGAGGTATTTAATGGTGGGCAATGTATGTATTTATTACTCTCTAAATCAGTGACTTTAACATAACATGTCTCCGACTGAAAAATCTCATATTACACTTGGTTAATGCAGGCACTGAAGGCTTTGTCTTGTCACATTCTTAAATGGGATTTGTTCTCCTTCTCTTTTAGGAAATGCCCAATTCTGTCTTTTTGGTAATGGAGGTATGTGTTAGCATTTATGCTTCTTTCTGGCTGATTTTAAAGATGATTTTTAGACACAAGTCCTTCTTTCCACAGAGGCAAAATGAGCACGATGTGTTAAAGCAATCAGTTCTGAAAACTAGATTATTAATTTCCTAAGCACTACTAAATTTATCAGCAGTGTTTGTTCCATAAATTATTCAGTTTCATTTTATGGTTCTGAAAGTATTAATGAAGCATTACATCTCATATTATTAATTACAAGTAGTTGGCAGAACAATTTTAAGGCAAATAGCTGAAAAAGATATTTTAATTTTTGTGAAAAGATTTGAAAGTAAAAATTATATAGCAAGTATTTCAGTGCTTGTGTTTTGAATTTAAAAAAAAACACCTTTCTTTTTAACAGTACTGCAATGGTGGGGATTTGGCAGATTACTTACAAGGTAATAGATTAATATATTTTCTTTTTAAGAAGTTAACTGCATTTCATGTTTATATTCTGTATTCCTGTGATCCACTCATGTTCCTCTGAGATTTTTTTCTCTTGTTTATGTATTTTTCTGTTCACAGAAGGTCTGTAATTCCACAGTGCATGTTCACCCTGGTGTGATTGCAGAGTACTGTCTATATAAAAGTAATTCACTTCCCCAAGAATTGGTTTAGTGTTGTATTCTGTCTTCAGGCAAGGTCAGCAGCAGAGCAGTTTGCTGTGTGTTTGTGTGCAAGCCTGGGAACTTGGAGACTAAATTTTGAAGCTGCAGGAAGACATAAGGTTTTGCATTTGTTTAAAAATATTTCCCAGTGTTTTTAAGTGCCACTGGTAACTGAAAATGAAACCCACAAAGTAGCCCTGAAGATAAATATAATAATGCACAGACAGAAAATGCTTTTTTTGCCACTGCTTTTGAAACAGTTGAGTGTAACATTCTTGTGTTGGTTAATGAGGGAGGAGATGTAGGTAACCAGAAGTAGTGTGCTGAAATTTGTGGGTTTCTGTTTCTAAAGTTGTATTTTGGGGGCTGCTCCCAGTATTTTGATTCCACCTGCTTTCTTTTCCAAGATGTGAACTTAAAAACACTCAGTTACTTATATAAGAATATTTTCTGCAGTGGCAGCTCTGGCTTAGGAGAGATCTTACCCTTCAACAGGGCCCTGCCCAAAGCCAAGACAGAAGTTAATAATGACAAATGGATTCTTTTCATGAACAAAATTTTGAGCATAGATGTTAATATTTCTGAAAATATTCTACTTGCCTTTGTATCTTAGTATGTTGAAGGAATTTTTTACTGAACAGCTATTGTTATGGTAACTGTGTGTATTAAAAGCCTAATTCACATCCCATTAAAATCCATGGGAAGACTCATACAGTGTAATCCAGCTCCTGTATTTGGTACTTTTTCAGAATGCAGAATGAGGTAATACCTCCTGAAGAGACTTTCAAAAATACATCTTATTTTTTCCCCTCAAAACAAATTTTAGCATGGGTGGAGTTTTTGAGCAGAGTGGTTTTCTGCATCCCCATATTCATTTGTTTCAAGAACAGGTGTTGCAGCTTCCAATTGTAGCACGATTGTGGATACGTTTAATGTCCTAAACGGTGAAGTTCTTGGCTCCTTTGCCTTTTTAGTGAGTTTATGATTTAGTGATGATTAAAAAGTTTTACAATTATTATGCTACCAAGCTGAATAAACTGTTGTGAAAACAGATAATCCATAGTACTGCAATTAGTGTAAAACTATGGAGATGTGTGTGTTGTTGAGAGCACATACCCTTGTGGAAAAGTACCGGAGATTGAATTATTCTGAACATAACTCACTCTGATTTGATTGTCTTCACTGTTTTCACAGTTGATGGCTGTGAAGTTGGTTGCTTTTTGCCCAAAGATACTTCTATTCTCACCTGTCTGTTGTTTCCAGCTAAAGGAACCCTCAGTGAAGACACCATCCGAGTGTTCCTGCAGCAGATCGCAGCAGCCATGCGGATCCTGCACAGCAAAGGGATCATTCACAGGGATCTGAAACCACAGAATATTTTGCTGTCTTATGCCAGTCGGAGGAAGTCGAGTGTCAGTGGCATACGCATCAAAATAGGTAGATCTGCTTCTCTCTGATCCAGGGGTAAATCACCGGGTTGTTTCCCTGCTTAGGGGTGTCTTTGCAGGTGAAGTGCAGAGGGTGATGCTGGGTATGGTTGTGTTAAACTGAAGCAGATCAGACAGTGAGTCTGGAATGATGAGCTTTATGCTGTAATGCTGGTTCTCAGTATAAAAAGGATTGAGTCATAAAGATCTTCTTGATTAAATCTGCAGGAAGAGAAAACCTATTTAGCTGATGTTTCTGGTACTAGCCTATTATTATTAAACCTGACATAAAACTGTAACCTTTGAAACTTAGAGTAGCCTTTAGCCCCTTTCAAAACTGTGTGCATACAAGACACCAGTTGCAGTACCAGGTGTTGCTTGCTTTGGTGGTTTTTTTTGTGTGTGTGGTACACTCTCCTAAGGGTTATTTGAGAAGTTACAAATATAGGTTATGACCTATTTTTGGCAGGAGGTTTAGCATTTTAAGTAGGGAGAGATTTCAACTGTTCAGGATACTACCAAGCCCCTCCTCAGAAGACACTTCAGGAGTTTTAATGTCATTGTTGTCTGTTAAGTGTTCATTTAAAAATACCTTGTTTCTAACAAGTTTCTTTACTGTGCTTTTGCTCAACCAAAATCTGAGATCTGCTTCAACTCATTCCATCTTCTGAACAGCACAGACAAAAAACTTTCCTTCTTACTGTTCTTGATAGTTTCAGATGCTCTTGCCTACATGGAAAATTCAGGCAGCTGAAACTTGACTTCTTAAACATCTACCTGATGTGATTTCACTGAAGCAGATTGTATATTCATCACTCTTAATGAACCATTTATATTTAGCCACTGACTTTAATCCCTTCCTGC